CTTTTCTAAGCCTTTCAGCCGCCCCCACTAAGGTTCACCCGTGGCTGTGCTGGCGCAGCACACTTTAGAAAGATCTGCCTCCACGCTCCCAGGGCGGGTTCCTGCCTCAAACCCTGCCCTTACAGGAAACAGCTCCGGAAAGCAGCTTGGGGGAGGGCACTGCCTTTGCCAAGACAACCCCTGCAGGACTGACTACTTTCGACTTGGTCGCGGCAGTTCTGGTCGTGATGAACACCACCCAGGGTTTTTATATAAGTTAATTATAGATGATCATTTTATTATTATTGATTTAAGACTTTTTCTGTTTTGTAATATATGCATTTAGTGCTATAAATTTCCATTCCACTGCTTTTGCTGTGTTCCACAAATTTTATATATTGTATTTTCATTTTCATTTAGTTTAAATGTATTTTTAAGTGTTGTTGTTTTTTTTGAGGCTTCCTATTTGACCCTTAGATTACTTAGAAATGTGTTGTCTAGTTTCCAACCATTTGGAGATCTTCTTATCATTTCTAATTTGATTCCATTGTGATTAGAGAACACACTCTGCATGGTTTGAATTCTTTTAAATTTGTTAACATTTGTTTGTTTGTTTTTTTCTCCAGGATATGGTAGTCTTGATATACAATCTGTGAGCACTTGAAAAGAATGAGTATTCTGCTGTTGTTGTGTCAATGAGTATTCTGCTGTTGTTGTGAAGTGGTCTATAAATATTGATTCAATCCTGTTGAATGATGGTGTTACTGAGTCTCTTATATATCCTTGCTAATTTTCTATTTAGATCTATCAATGTTAGAGAATAGTGTTGAAGCCTCCAACTATAATTGTAGATTTGTCTATTCTGTTTTCACTTTTTGCTTCATATATTTTGTACCTCTGTTGTTTGGCGCATATACCTCTGAGGATTTTCTTTTTTCATTTACTTTGATATCTCCCAGGTTCTTGGTATGGTGAGTGATTTTTTTTTAAAATTAAAACCTGGGTATTTTGCTATGAGATCCTAAATCTTACTTAAACCTTCTGTTTTAGCTGGCTTTTTTCTGACATGGCTCCAGCAGGGGAAGGGGCTGGGAGGGCACTGTCTCATTACTGCTAGGTGGGAATAGCAGTCCAGGTTCACACTGGCCTCAGTTGACATCAGCAGTGGTGAATTCCTCATGACTACTGTGCAGGAATGGGAGTTACAACTCCCTAGTAGGCCTCCACTGATTTTATGGGGTCACTCCTACTACTGCCCAGTTGGCTGCTACTGACACCACAAGGAGGGGGTGTGGCCAGTTTCCTACCAGCTTTCTCTGATTCCACCCTGGCACCAGGGGGGTTGGAGAATGGGGATGGAACACCTTGTTATAGCTTGGTGAGGGTAGAATTCTAAGTTCTCTGTTCAGCCTTGGTTGGTGTGGTAAGGATAGGACCACAGGTTTTTTTTCTTTTTTACTGTGGCATTTGGCTATAGTAGAACAATTATCTAAAAGTCTTCTATTGTGCTAAACTTCCTATTTCCTTGTCTTTTTGTTAAAGAGAGCAAGCTTTTATTTGTTTTGTTGTTGTTTGTCTAACTTCATTTGTTTTTCCAGGTTGCCATTTTCTTCAGCTCCCTGTCCGGGATATACGAGGCTTTGGTGTTGTTCTTTTGAGTCCTGAGGTCCCTAGCTGGTCTGCCTTCCTATCTCTGCCTTTAAGATTATTCTTAGTGTGTTTTATATTGTAATTAGTAGGAGGATTGGGGGTGAAATACAGTTTTCAAAGGAGGCTGCTTCTATTAATGATGTCCTCATAGAGAAAGGGCCTGTTATGACCTGGTAAACCCCTCCACAAGATTCTTGCCACAATTACTCTACCCGTGTCTGACTTGAAACAACCTGCTTAATCCCAAGCATCTTCTAGGAAGACATTATCCATCATGCCAGACTCCTTGGTGGGTTTGTGCTTTGGCCAAATACACTAAGAACAAATGTCTAGTGTTAGACCACCCAAGATATTTTCACTTCTGTGGTTAACCGTCTTTGAATTCAGGTTTCTTGAGGTGAAAAGGTTATTCACATTCTGAACACATTAATACTTCCAACTTTTTATATTCTTACCACCATAATGGTGTTACAGATATTGAGTTCCAACTATATGTACACTAAGAAATTTGTACTTTAACAGTAGCATTTTAACTAGATAGATCAAAGTCACTTATTTTCATCATGGTTCTTATTATTTCCACTGAATTTTATTTATTGGGGAGTAAATATAAAAATGTTCTTGGGTATTTGATAGCCAGTCAGTTGGCTGCCATGCATATCAAAATATAGAAAAGGAATTGCCCAGAACTATGGGTGCACCAAGGTGGAAACATTCTTCTCTCTATAATTTACATTTACTGAGAGAGACTTTATAAAGCGCCATTCCTACTTGGTTCCAGATGGATTGTAGTTCTCTGTGAACCAGAAGACAGACATTGTATAATTTATAGCCCATTTTAGCTTGCTTTGATAAAGAAAATGTTATCTTCCTTCTTAAGAAAATACAGACTGCATAGCATGATGCAATTGTTTATGGAGGCCATAAACTTCATTTCAGTCCTTACCTTGCAAAATCTGCTTCTCTGTGTGTAGAAACTATGATCTTCTTTACAAAATATTCTAAAGAGGACAATAGCAATGCCATTGGGGGGAAAAAAGCACCATGTTTATTTGAAAACAAAACAATGAATTTCTTTTTTGAAATTAAGTTAGATTTACGAAAAAAAGGGGGGGGAGGGGAATACTATCTTCTTTTTGCCTTAACTGAAAAATTTTGGTCCTGATCCAGTTCTTTTAAAAAATGCATGCTTATTATTTTCTTAAGTAATAAATGACCCTAATTTAAAGAGTCAAATATTATTATACAGCTTGTAATATAAATCAGAGGCTGCTACTTCCAACACTTTTAATTTGGAATTTTAGAATTGATAGAATTCTGAAACTCTTCTCAAAATACTTAAACACAGTAGGTAATAGTGAGTTCTATCTCCCCCACCCACAATATCCCTGTATTAATGTGAACCATATTTGTCCTGGGACATACCTTCCAATCACCCTGGCAAGTCTGCCCTTTCATCCACATGCCTTATTCCCTGAATCTTGAGTTCCTCTTTCTTGATTTACAAATTTTATTTTTGTGACCCACATGCTCCAGCAGCTTCTTGAGCAAAAGTTCATAAGAGGTCCAGTTGTTGCTGTTGTTTATATACTTTAGTCTGTTGAGTAGAGAGTATCTTATTTTAGGATGGAAATAATTTTCTGTCAGAATTTCAAAGGCATCTCTCTATTCAGCACTTCACATAATGCCTGGTGCAGAGCAGGCACTTAATAAATCATTGTTGAATGGATTATTTTTTAGCTTACAGTGTTGCAAATTTTTTAAAGTCCAGTAGCATATGCTATTCTCATGACTACTCCTTCAGGTTACCCTGTTTTTCTGTTTGGAAACTTTTAGGATCATCTTTATCCCCAGGAATGATATTTCACAATGATTGGTGCATTAGTATAGATATCTTAAAAATTTTATTCTACTGTGCATTCATAGAGCCTTTTTATATAGAGATCTAAGTTTTTTAATTATAGGAAATTTTATATCATTATTTTTTGGTAATTTCTCTTTCTTCATTTATCAGTCATTTTCCTATATTTTTTTAGTAGTGGGATATTGAATTTATTGAATAGATTTTCAGCTTTTTATTATTTTACTCAAAAATTCTTGTAACTTTGACTTTTAGTTCTTTTTCACAATATCTTTCATTTTATCTTCCAATCCTCTATAACATTTTAAAAATACTTACATCACTTTTTAAATTACCAAGAACTCTTTCTTGTTTTAGATGTCACTAGGGGTTGATCATAAGAGTCTAAAATTCTGAAGCAATATCTGGGCTGGGGGTATACATTTGGGAGTTGTTCACATAGGTGGAAATTAAAGTCATGAGACTAGATGAGATCACAAAGGAAGTGAATGGAAACAGAGAAGAGAAATCCATGCGCAAAGACTAAAGCATTCCAACTTTCAGAGGTCAGATTGATGAGGAAGAACTAAGATAGAGAGCAGGTCAGTAAAGGAGGGAAAAGGAAACACACAAGTGTGTGATGTCCCAGAAATCAAGGTGGGAAAGTGTTTCATGACCAAAGGGTATGATTATCTGTGACAAATGCCTCTCATAGGTCAAATGAGATGAGAACTGACTACTGGATTTAGCAACAAGGAGGTCATTGGGTCATTGGTGTTCTTGAAAACATGCTCTTTAAAAACAGCAGTGGGGCGTGCGGGTGTGGTAAAAGCTGATGCAGCATGAGGACTGAATTGGGTATTACAGGAGAAATTGTAGTCAACTCTTTTTGCTATATAGGCACAGAAATGGAGCTGTGGGAGGTGGAGAGGAATGCGGCATTCACAGAAGTTTTGATTTCCAGAAAATAAGTGTCCATCAAAAGCTATGGAGTATGAGGAGTTTTAAAGAGATGAGATAGAGCACAAGATTTAGCCAATGTGAAATTTTCGTCAAAAATAGAATATTTTTCAAAATAATTGTACCTATAGCCAAGCTGATATGGTTCAGTGGTTGAACCAGGAGGACCTATGAACCAGGAGGTCACAGTTTGATTCCCAGTCAGGGCACATGCTCAGATTGCAGGCTCAACCCCAAGTGGGAAGTATGCAGGACACAGCCAGTCAGTGATTCTCATCAATGATGTTTCTATCTCTCCCTCTCCCTTCCTCTCTGAAATCAATAAAAATATTTTAAAAAATAATTGTACCTATATTCATGATGTTTGCTGAGCATCAAGCAATACAAAATAGAGAGTGAATTTGGATATCTTAACTTGTGATGTGTTGCTCCTTAAAATCAACCACTATTAATCAGTATTTAATTATCCTGACTTTTAACTCAGGATGTTTTTCACAAGAATCTGACACAAAGTGCTGTCAGATGTTAGGAGGGCAATTCCTTAGTTAACGAATCCTTGTCTTGAGTGCAGTTCCTATGTGTGTGAACCATTACATCTCTATCTGCTTTCTTCAACACCCTTCTGTCTTTGACCTTGAGTTTTAAAGATCAGCAACAGAAGATGCTACTTGTCTTCTTAGGGATATGCAGGCCCCTATTGTGATAATTTATTTTTCATTTTTATTTACTGTGCTTTGTATACCATTTTATTTTAACTGAGAGAAACTACTTATTCAAAGAGCCAATTTTTCTTCTACAGAGAACTTTAGGGCATAGTGCTAACATAGCAGAACCATTATAAACAGAGCCCTCCTCTCATAGAGGAGACCCCAGGAGGATGTGTTAAGAGAGTACAATATTGGGCAAGTTACTGAAAGTCTCTCTTTTTTTTCAAATTCTGATATTTTTGTTTTATTTTTTCTTTTAAAATTTTTATTTTTTTTTACATTCAATATTATTTTGTATTAAATTCAGTTGTTTAGCATAGTGGTTAGACAAATACATACTTTATAAAGTGGTTCCCTGATATTTCCAGTTCCCACTTGGTACCATGCATAGTTATTACAATATTATTGACTATATTCCCTAGAATGTACTTTTTTAAAATTTAAATTCTTTATTGTTTAAAGTATTACATAAGTCTCTTTTTCCCCCCATTGACCTCTCCCCACCTGCTCCCACTCCCCCAGCACATGCCCTCACCCCCCCCCCCCCCCTACTGTCTGTGTCCGTTGGTTATGCTCCTATGCATGCATACAAGTCCTTTGGTTGCTCTCTTACCCCCTCCCTCCCCTGCCTCCCCTCTTAAGTTGGACGATGCTTCTATGACTCTGGCTCTATTTTTGTTCATCAGTTTATGTTGTTCATTATATTCTACAAATGAGTGAGATCATGTGATATTTATTTTTCTCCGAC